GTAACGCAGTTTCGGCGGCATGCCTGCGGGAGGTCCGCTGGTAACGCGGATTCGGCGGCATGCCTGCGGGAGGTCCGCTGGTAACGTGGATTCGGCGGCGCGCCTGTGGGAGGTCCGCCAGTCCCGTGCCTTCGACGTACCCGCCGCCGAATTGCCGCTGAAACTGTGGGACCAGCAGACCTCCCGCAGACATGCCACCGAAGGCAGCCTGACTACCGCCCTCACGGCGACCAACACACCGCCTTCCGCGGCTTGCCGCCCCAGGCACACGCTTGGTGCGCTGGTGCCTGGAGCCGCCCCGTACCTATGTAAGAGCCAGGGTATTTTCATTAGTGATTGTATTTATCAGTATCTGGCGGTTCTAGCAGGAACCTAAAGCTGTGTCTCCTTCATTAAGGGGTGTCTACGAGCACACCCAAGCTGCTGGCGGGTTTGGCTACACTCAATGCAGAATGTAAAGGGCCACCTACTAATTCAAAGACTGGTCTGCAATGGGTTGTGGCTGGGCAGATGCTAATGCCACAGTACCAGCTAAGTGCCCACTGCATGCCCCTTGAAGTATAGCACTTGGAATCCACCCCCCTTTTCAGTCCAGAAATACAGCTCTCTCCTTACTCTGAATCTGGCACACAGCTACTGCTGTGATGGCGGTGGTATATGAACCTAGCTACAACGGAGCAATTCCACACGCTCAGTCAGCGAACGGAGAAATCCTGGATCAGCTGTGATACTCATTCCAGGCAGTAGAGGGCAGCAGCACACCGATCCAGCACTTTGGACATGGCAGTGTGTAGTATGTGTATGTGCAGGGGTGTGTGTCTCTGTATGCAGTGCATGCATCTGGGTGTGTTGAGGGAGGGAGTTTCTACTGCAGTGTGTGTGTGTGCGCGTGTACGCTCTGTCTGTCTTGCATAGGTGTCTGTCTGTAGTGCTCCCTTTTCCCTCTGGTGCACGGGAGCCATGCAGACATGTCCCTGGAGGGTTTACTTCTCCAGGCAGTGCCGGGATGCTTTGGCTCTTTGTTTCTCTGTTGCTGCACTCGGGGTGTATCAGCCTGAATGGCTACACACATGTAGTTGTGGATTTGGGGCTGGCACATTCCCTGCCCTCTTGCTGTGCCTTGCTCTTTCCGGTTTGGTGTGTAAAACTCCTTCGCTGTGCCGCTGAAAAGCACTGAGATCTCTGATTAATTCCACTCTGATGTCAGACATGCGGCTCTGCTGGGAGGGATTTACAGAGCTGCATTTAGGCTCTCGTTCGCTGAGAGAATCTTTCTCTGTCTCTTCCCTCCCCCCTTCCCCTTCCATCCCCCCTCCCCGCCCCAGCTCTCTGAAAACGTGTAGACATTTTTCTGTTGAAAGGGTCGCTAAGGCTTGGGGTCGGTTCAGAGCTTTGCATTTGATTCCCTCTCCTTACCACTGGATATTTTTTCATTCTTCTCATCTAGCTGCCATTGAGGACAGAGAGAGCAGCTTTGTTAGACTAGGACAATGAAATGAACACCCCCCTTTTTTTCCCTAATGACAGCCCGTTACTTAGCAACGGGGGTGGGGGGGATTTTAACAGAAGATCAGAGCGTCAGGATGAGGAGATAAACTCTGTCATTCGCTCTCCCAGGAAACTTACTAAAGAGCCAGCTTCCCTTTTGTCAGGCTCCTGATTTTTGCCCCCCAAGAGCCAGCAGGAAAGTCTCAGCGAGAATCCTCCCTGATGGCTGGCTGGCTGCTTCCCCCTGCAACTCCTCTGCTCAGGCGCCCCACTCTTCAGTTACATGCTAAGGGCATCATGTAAAGGGAAGCCCAGTGTGGGATCAGTAAGCTCTCTGCATACACATGCAGGTGACTGAGAGGGGGAATCCGTGGGCAGAAGGGAGAGCCAGACGGCCAGGGCTGACCCCTACTCACACAGGGAGGGAAAGGAGCATTCGCCTTTTTGTTCTGACAGTGGGCAAGGGAGGGAGGGAGAGAGATTGTGCCCAGCTCCGTGCTGAGAGCGATGGTTGCTCCGAAGAGGTCTCCGTGTGAAAGGCAGAGAGGCCACCTGCGCCTGGCAGCATGGTGCTGAAATCTAACCCTAGCATCATTCTCTTGTGCTCTTTCCTGCCCAGTGACTACATCATCGAGGAGAAGACGGCCGTGCTGCAGAAGAGGGAGCATGAGGGATTCGGGTTTGTGTTGCGAGGGGCCAAAGGTAAGGGCTGGTTTATTTCACTCGGGGCTGGGGCTGAGAGGGGAAGGTCCATGTCCACAGGGCCCTGCTCTGGCTGGCCGCACTGGTGTTACACATTGCCAGCCCGTGGGCCCCTGTACAGCAGGGCTCTCCGGGGACTCTCCTGCCCCTTGCCTCATGCCCAGGCACGTTAGAGTTTAACTCTAGTGCTGTACATTGTCCATACCTGGTATTTGCACACTGCCTGGTAGTTGTGCATAGAGCTCTGCACGCCGAGGCGTTTCACCTCCAGCCTAGTGCATGTGGACAGGGTGCATGCCCCGTGCTCTGTGCATGCGTGATTCAGACTGGGAGCCCCTCAGAGCAGGGCCCGTGTGCAGTCCCAGGCCCCCATGTTGACTGTGAATGTGGAGCCCGGTTACTACAATCCCTGGCTGTGTTGGGGCGTAACTCCAGGCTGGGGAGAAGGATCGTGCTGGTGGTGCCTCTATTCTGAGGCGGCTACTTGTGGCACTGTGCTGTCACCACACCTCCAGCCCTGCCTGATCAGGGTCTCCCCTGCTGGCATCAAGGGGACATTTCCAATCCCCACACACTGTCCTGGGGAATTCCTCGGCTCACGCTGCCAGTGCATCTGGCCCACGCTGTAGCTATTGTGGTTCATATTACTAGGAATTGTTACCCGAAAGAATCCCTCTGGAACGGAGCGTGATTGAGCTCATCTATTGGCATTGAATAACCAGCGTTAGCCCTGAGCTGGGAGCATGTGGAAGGCAGGGGACTCCTAGGCTAGAGGATCATTCTTCCAGCCATCTCAGGTTGAAGACTGGGGCAGACCCAGCACTGAAGTGTACTGAGGGATCAGATCAGTATGGGAGAACATAGCCACAGTGATGTCTGTCTGTGTCCCCTCCTGCTGCACAGGAGACATGGCACCTATAGGGAAGGCTTGGAGAGTAGCTGCCCGCTTTGCGTAGGAGATCTGCTCCTTTTCGAGCCCTTGCTGTGGGTGGAGACCCTTTTGATTTGGGTTTGAGCCCCACAAGTGATTTCCTCATAGCAGTCATCGATTGCCTTTTTCTGCATGTATCACAGAAGGGTTTTGTGTGCAAATGGGTGTGTCTCTCAGTACATGTACATTTGTACTCGTTTGTGTGTGTGTCCTACTCACATCTGCTAGTCTGCAAATTGTGTAATGAAACTTCCCAGCCCTCAGCATGGCATCTCCCTTTCTCATGGGTTGGGTTGTCATGGTGCGGGGTTACTCCCGTAATGACCAGATTCTCTCCGATTCTCTCCGGCTTTCTCTGTTTCCTCTCCTTAAGTTTGTATGCTCTGTATTTTCTTGTGTCTACTGATAGCTGGCGGAAGAGACTCCAGGCAGATTAGACAATGGGCTTTTGGCTGTGGGGCTCTGCAGCCAAATGAGTCTTTGTGGGATTTTTGGTATAAATATGGCTTAGTGTCTGTATGACTCTGGGGGCCACAAAACTGCTATCAGAGGCCATGGGGAAGCATATGGCTCTGGAGCGTCATGGGGCTGAAGGTAGCTTTGAGGGCAGGTCTTGTAGGGGTGAAGGTCTCTGATTAGTGAGGGGTGGATGTGGCTCACTTGGGAACCCATCACCCTCCTATAGTCACAAACTGTTAATCCGGGAGTCATCCTTGACCCCCTCTCCCCTTTACCTTCCCCTGCTTAAAGCTACTGCCGAACCCTGCTTCTTCCTCTATAGCATGCCCCAATCCGCCCATCCTCCTTTCCCACTTCCAGAAGCCTTGCCCATGCCCTGGTGACACCCAGCCTGGGCTGCAGCCTCCATCTTTCTGGATAACCCGCTCACCCCTCCCACCTGTTCATGTGACCTTAGAAAACATAGACAAACCCCCATCCCTTTCTGTGCCCACTGTTATCACAATGAGCTTAAAGGGCATTTCCCGCTCCCAGAGTAACGGCACGCACAGGCCAGGCACTGATGTCTGTTCATCCCACAGCAGCCATAACTTTATTATTGATTTGGCACGTCCTTGGGCCGGGTGCTGGGCAGACATACAGGAACAGGTGGGCCCTGCCTCAGGGACTTTGCCATCTAAACGAGCGCTCGGCAGTTAGATGAATAGTGAAAACATCACCAGCTACGTGAATTAGAGTAAAAAAAAACAGACGGGTTATAAGCCCCCCATGCTTGAAGGCAGACCGCAGCCACTAGCTGACTGGGTTGGGGGAAAAGCAGCCCCACTCGTCAGGTTATTCCCTACGTGGTTTTTGTACTTTCCTATGAAGCAGCTGGTCCCGAGTCTGGTTGGAGCTGGGATCCTGGGCTGATCCTGTTCCTATTTCTCTTCCAAATGCTGTCGCTGAACTCCTCTTCTTGTCCTGCCCCTCTGAACGTGTCATCTGCCCCCTTCCTTTTTCAAGTCCCTTCATTGGCTCTACCAGTCTCAGATTCAAACTCCTTGTCCTCAACCCAGCTCTGCCCCGCCTGCCTCTCTTCTCCCATCACTTGCTGCTTCCTGGCCCAGGACCTGCACTCTACCAACTCCACTTGCCTCCATCTGCCATGAGCACTTCCACCTTCCCTTACTCTCCTCTGTGCCTGGAACAACCTCCTTGGTCCTACAGACCACGCAATATCCTCCTCTTCAAATCCCAGTGTTGTATATCCGAGCCGCACACTTGCACCAAACTAATTATTGAAAAGTAAACAAAGCACAAATGGAAGACGTATCTCTAATGTGGTGTATCCACTGCAGAGTCAAGTAAACTCATGAGGGAAAGGATAGTGCCGTGGTTAGGATGCTAGTCTGGGACTCTGGAACCATAATTCACAGATTCCAAGGCCAGAGGGGACCATTGTGATCCTCTAGTCTGGCCTCCTGCATATCACAGGCCATCAAGCTTCCCCAAAATAATTCAGTTCCCTCCTTTGTCACAGACTTCCTGTGTGGCCGTGAGCAAGTCTCTGTATGCCTTTCTGTACCCTGAGATGACAGAACTTTCCAACCTCACAGGGGTGATGTAGGATAAATCTATTACAGATTGTGAGGTGTTGTGGTACTTCAGTGATAGATACGCCTTATTTCATTACGCTGTCCCTTCCTTCTGTCTTTTGTCATCTTCATCGTTTCTGTGGAAGAGGCTTAAGGTTTGATACTTGATGTCCCGTGTTGGGGGTTACATGCTTTGGGGGGCTGCATGACGCATAGCCACAGTGATGAAGCAGCACTTCCCATTGCAGGGAGTAGACAAACTAGCAAGATAGAAATATTCAAAGTACTGGGAAATAGCAGCTTGAGATATCCAGTCGTCAGCCGTAGTCCAGGTGGAATCCTCTGGTCTCATTTGTGATCATAATTCTGGGACAATGGGAATAAGACTCATACCTGCAGCTCATGGTATTAGCATACAGTTGGTTGTTGTAAATCCACCACCATCCTCAATTTAATGGTGGCTGAGACACCTGACCTTACTTGAACTTCTTTGGTTCATGCTTCTGGCCCTGCTTTGTCTTTGAGCCTTTGTCCAGAGGGGTAGTAGAACCGGTTCGGAGTGGGTGTGACCATGCACACTTTGTCTGTCCTCACCTGTATCGGGCACCCCACCCTCAATGTGTCTCCCTTGGTATATGAGTCCTAGAATGAAATAAACACTGGAGTTGTCTTAGTTACAGGGTAAGCACCCTGGTCCCTGAGATTCCTCTCTTGGCTGGTGATTTATCAGGTCTGGTTTTGAAATTGAGACAAATTGCTCTGAATGAGTTCGATTGTTCTCACCAACTCAAACTCTTCTGTGCATTTGCTCTGGATCTCACGGCTTCCATGGCAACTTGTAGACTATACAGGGTCATTCTAGGCTCAGTCATCACCTGGTGGCAGGATGCCACACTCTGATCTTCATGATGGGACTGGACATTGGAGATGTGAAAATGACATATCGCCTCTTCCTCCACACCACCACCTCTTCTAGGCTGAGGCCAAGAACTCCCCTCATGCCTGAGAAGATGGACGTGCTAGTTTAAGTGCCTGCCCTAGGAGGCTGATAGGCACAGCTGGATTCCAGATGTCTCTAGGGCTATGTCTAGAGTGGTGGTGAGGGGTGTGATTCCCCTGCTCATGTACTCATGCTCACACTAGCTCTCATCAGGCTAGTGCAAGTACAAATAGCAGCGTGTCCACGGTAGCACGGGTAACAGCAGCAGAGGCGCGGCTTAGCCATGCCAAGTATACACCCAGCAGTTTCAGGCGGGTTTGTACTTGGCATGGCTAAGCCATGGCACTGCAGCTACACTGCTCTTTGTACTCACGCTAGCTCAATGGGTGTACGCGAGCAGAAGAATCACACCTCTAGCTCGTAGGATAGACCTTGCCCAAGGCAAGAGACGCTCTCCTCTCCCACAGAACCACTTTGCCCAGGGTGGGGTCTGCCTAGTCCCACATCTCAGGTAAGTTTGTCCCAGTACACAAACTTGGAATCTGCCAGAGAGCAAAGTTCATTAGAGCTACTCACCTCCCCTTCCTCCTCTTCTCCTGCAGAGCTCAAGGGTAAAAAGGGGGACTTGCCCCAGGCAATGGCTGAAGGTGCAGTGAGCTCAGAATTTGTTCACTTAAATTCATGGCCTCCCTCATGTTTTTTTCTTCTACCCCACTGGGGCCTCTTGTTGTGTATACGTAGTGTGTCAGTCAGCTTGCCTTTTACAGCAAAGAAACACAAAACAGGAGTGAGAAGCCAGGCAAGGGTACCTCTATGTCATGGGCTTTGTATAGACCTGCAATGACCAGAAGAGCCACCTCAGACCTCTTCTGACCAAGGGAGGCTTGTCAAGCCCAGGTGACTCTGCCGGTTACTGTGCAACCAGCATCAGCTTTGGAGAACCGCTTGCCCAAATGGTTCTGTGCTCGGCTAAAGCATTAGCCAGGTGCCTAATCTCATCTGGCCAGCCAAGTCCGCTGCCAGTGATGAAATGACACACTGCTCTGTGCCCAACACAAGCCATCCCTAGGTCGATGCTGGGATCCTCTGTCTT